ATATTATTGAATTTTATCTGGCCAGGGCGGCTTATTTTATATTGTATTTTTGTATTTTTAAGCTAATGTTTATATTTTTTTAATTTAAGATTATAATTATTTTAATTTATTGTTGTAAGCCGCCCCAAGGCTTCGGCAAATGGGGCAGCATAAAAATGTATTAATAAATAAATAAATAAAGGATAAATCACTCGGGTGCAATGGGGCAGGGCATAGGGGGAGTGAGACATATCCAGGGCAGCATGCGGAAGCCACCAAGCATAAAGGCATCTGAGCGGTGCCTCATTTAATACCCGAGTCCCAGCCCCACTTCCGGTCCACACTGCCAAGACTTGTGGACCTGCTGCGCCCATTCCACGGAGTAGCTGATCTGGCCGTAAATGCATGTGGCTTCTGGACTGTCGTAATGCGCTCTATGGGGGATCGCTTCCAAAGCAGTTGCAGAAGCTTCAGCTAGTCAAGACTGCGAAGGCCAGCCAAAGTGTTCAAACCCTACTTCGGTCCAGTCTTTTCACCCAGGCAGGTCTATGGCTGCCCGGCAGAAATGAAATGCAAACTAAAGGGCCAGGATGGAACCTGGAGATTAATAAACAACTGGTCAAGGAACACCTAATTTCTGTGAGCGAGTCCCAGTCGCCAGCGCCTGGTGAGCTGGGGAGGAATGGCCAGGCCACTGGAGCAGGGCGGCTATCGTCCCCATCCTCAAAAAGGGCAAGAAGCAGGCTCCTGAAAACTACAGACATCCATCCAACAAAGAAGCGTCTGCAAACCCCTGAAAGGCAGCGAAAGAATTGCTGGAAGCCAGCACAGTGTGTGAATATATGTGCAGATAAATAAATAAGTAAATAATTCAGGCAAAGGAGTGCATTCTGTGAGTGCCTGGCTAACTGCACATGTGTGGCTTCTAGGCATCCCTTTCCCAGGACGGCTTTAGTGATAAAACAGGATGGCACAGGATGGCAATGAACTCATGAGGGCAAAAGGGGCAGGAGGGCAAAGGCTAAGGGGTGAGAATTCCACTTTTTCTCTACACAATTGCAAAAGCAGCTCAGAAGAACACGGCTTCCAAGTTGGTGCACAGCAGTCCCACGAATCGAAAGACCTGTACCTGCAGAGCGGAGTATGACGCCAAAGGGCCGTCTCGTTCAGCCTCGTCCTTCCTTATCATATTTCTTCCAAGCAATAAATCGCCCGCTTGAATTCCTGCTAGACTGCTCCCGTTCTCCTCATCTGCTTCTTCAGCATCTGCTTCTGACGAATTGCTGCTACTGCTACTCCCCTGGGGAGACTGAAAATTAAATCATATATACCCAAATCCATTGAAGCTCTTATTGAACGAATAGGGTTATAAAATGCATTTATTTTAAAATAAGGGTACCTCAAATTTTAATGTCACATTCTTGACTACACCATTAAACTGTTTGTGGATTCCATTCACATTTCCTACAATGTCAGCATTATCGTAGTGATGAGTGGAGTAAAGTTCACCCAGTTTTTCTGATACTGGTGTGACATCTTCATTTTCAATAACACTGTAAAGAAAAAAACTTTCTCTATGTAACATGTTCTGTGCTGTATTATACTAATGAAATTAAAAAGCATGATTTCTACTGGACCAGATTTGAGAAGTTTCATCTACAAGTACATGGTCTGTGTTGGTTGTTTTTAATACAGCGGTATTTGTAATAGAAATTTGTACTAGGCCTCTGTCGCAATAGGATTATTTCAGACATGCGGTTTTGTATGCTATCTCAGGGGCTGCTCCCGGATTCCCATTATGCAGCTTCAAGTGCAGCTTGTTATGCGGTGCTGGAAAGGGGCAAAGGCTCAGAAATCCTCCTGCATACACAGAAATTCTCTACATTGTTTTTCCAGTTTTTATTCCAACATTTCACATTTTGCTAGAATCAAAAGGGCAGAGACACTTACAAAGGTGGCCCAGAGTTGTTGTCTGTTACAATGAGTCTTGGTCTGTCTATCTGCTGAACGGTAAAAGGGGAGGTGGATGTGGACCCTGAGCTTCCTGAAGACATACTAGGAACGTGGATTTCAGAAAAATAATCTGGAGCAGAATCCATTTGTAGCGGTAAGTGGTTGCTCTGGAGGTCATCCGTAACGGGTGAATCCATAATTCCACACATCAGGATATGGGAAAGACTGCAGTCATCACAAGTACATCTGTTCGTGAATTTAAAATCTCATAAATGTTATTGTTCAACGTTAAAGGGGCTAGCATTTTATTGTGAAATTATATCAAGCTAATATATAACGGATGCAATAATACAGTATTATCATATACTCACCTGCGCCTGTAATTGCAGTTTGGACAATCAGAAATGCTCAGCCGGGATGACAACAGGTGCCTCATTGTTTCTGTGAAGTTATTTTCTCCAGATATTGCTTTCTTGCCATTTAACTAGAATTAGCAAGAGTTTAATATATAGTACAAATTATTTACAATTTTAATGACAGTTGATAAATCAATAGAAAATATTTTCCTTTTCATTATAGCCTCAAAATGAAACGGGTAACTTGATAAAGCACACTTCGATAAATGTTGAATTGCTCCAGATTTAAAAACAATGATAAAATACTAATTTAGAAATAATGGACACTAATCTGGACATCCTAAAACGGTACCACCCATGCTTTCTTAAAAGCAAATGACCATTTGCATGGCCAGGTTGGCTAAGCATAAATTGCCTCTAGGTAAAAAGGGCTTATCAAGGCTCTTTTTTGCCTGAATTTCAGCATGTTTACCTTTGTTTTACAAACATCTACTTATTGCAGCTGTCTTCTGTGGTGCCTTTTTTTTAGCTAACAAGAGCTTGCAAATGATTGCTGATTAACTGCACCTCCCGCATGCCCTGAAGCCAAGCCATCTGAAATCTGGGAGCTGAGCTATTTGTTCATTCTTTGCATTTGAAACAAGTTTCAGCAGCTTATCTCTTTAAAACAAGCAGATGAAAACACTACAGATGTTAATGAACTCGAAGTAACCATGTAACAGTTTGCTTGCAAAGGGTCACTGAACTTATTCTGCACACATTCAAGCTGTAACTGAATCGACATTATCTGTACTTTTGAATTTTGTTTCCCTCCAGCCTCACTGTTGACACCCCTATGCATGTTCATGCTTCTGAGGATAATTCTCAGTGCCTCCACAAAAGCTAAAGCTGTAGTAAATGTGTTAGTTGTTAAAGCGTCACAACATCTATCCTGAAGACCGAAATAGGAAAAAAGGTATCCACCACCTTTTTGATCCTAATTGCCTCTGATCTATGAAAGCTTTTAAATACACCGATTGCATTTAAAGATGGGCTACACCTTCTGTTTCCAGTTTATTAGAAAGACTGTCTTCTCCTTGCCTGGACCCAGAGGCCCTTCTCTTAATCCTACCACTTTCGCAGGCACACTTGGTGGAAACGCAGGAGGGGGCCTTCCAAAGCGGCAGGTCGGTGCAGAAAAACGAGCTATGCCTGATGTACTGACTCCATGGTGATAATTTAGGAGCATAAATGAAAGCTGGAGTCGTGTAACGGGCAAGGGCTAAGCTCATTATGAGAGGCCTACTAACCTGCCTCACAACAGGAGAGGAACGCTAACATCGGCTACAATGCAGGGGAAGATGGCAAACCCTAAAAGCTCGAAGGCAAAGCAAGTGACAAGATGCTAGAGCTTGGTGGGTAACCGGAATGTGAAGAGCTGCTTCCAACGGTGTGGAGGGAGACAGGAAGAAGGCAGACAACACAATGTCCTGAAAACATTGATATGAAAATCAGAGACCTCCATAAGTAGGAAAGAAGGATCCAAGCGAAGAACTACCTTATTTCTATGAAAGACAATGTATGGCAGGGAAATTCTGAGAGCACAGAGTTCACCATAAAGATGTTAAATTTAGTTTACATTTCTCTAGGTGTCTAGCACACCGGGGAAAACATAAAATAGGACATCTTTCAGGCGATCTTCCCTCAGCCAGACATTCTTCTCATGTCTGGCCTTTACAATTCTGTGCGGAAATATTCCTTAAGCCAATCTTCCACTTTCTTTACATCCAAGGAAGCCAACAATCCTACGTCCATTCATCTGGATGCAAGCGTGGCTTGAGCATGGTGGAAGTTATTTCCAAGCAAACGTGTATCCATTCAACTCTCTGTGATCTTAGCACATAGTTTTACCTCTTCTATGAAATGCCTCTGCTTAAAAACTTCCCAGTCTTCTTTAAGAAGGTGTTGTTTTGTTTTCATTGCCACCTGGAACAAAATTAAGCTGAGTTCAATTAAATAAATGATTACACACAATATGATTTCTACTTCACTGATTTCAGGATGCTCATTTGTGATAAGGAAATGTACCAGTGTCAACTAATTTAGCCACCTAATGCCCTAAAGATATGTTAAATTATCAGGGAAAATCACATATCTGGAGGAAGAGAGAGAAAGATTGACGCATCAAATTACATGTAATGGACTTGGTTTCTACCTTGGTAAAACAAATGCCCGGTTTCATGTTCATACAAGGCTAATCCTAAAATGAAAAGCAAGTTACAAATTTAAATGTCTCTCTACTACATCCAGACAGAATGTGATAGCACTTATTTTTGACAGCTATCAAAAGAATGGATTTTTTTCCAAAACCTACCAGGCAAATTAAAACATTTTTGGGGACAGGCAAATACATGCAAACATAGAAGAAATATACAAAAAGCTACATGTATAACAAAAAGAAATGGATGTTCAGAAATACATATGCAAAAGCACAATACTAATAAATCTAGTTTAAGCAAATATCCAATTAAGCAGGGTGAAAATGTCTTCCAAAAACTTTGCAGTGCAAAGTGCTATCATGAAAAATGTTCCATTAGGGAAGTTCGTTTTAATAATGAATGGGTACCAAGTGCAAATATAATATTGGGCAAACTTAGCCATTTCTACTGTGTAATTAATGTTTCTCAGAAGCTTATCCCTAGCAAGTATGTGAAAGAATACATATGTGTCACTGAAATATAGCAAGAGGCACTGATAAATACTGAAGATGCCTCAGTTGTCTTGGTGGAAAATAGCTGACCTCTATTAAAATATACGAGCAGTTCTCAGCATACCATACTCAGTTCTTCGGGCTGATAAAATTAATGCCAATAGCTTCTGATGCCTTTGGGATTTTTCCTTAAATTTCAACATACAAAGGGAAGTAGATGCTATTGTCTTTAAATTTTGACAAGTCATCTAACACCTTGCCCTAAAAAATTGCCCTAATAAAATAATCTTACCTGTTCATCAACATAATCATCTAATCTTTTCTGGCATTCAAGCCATGCCTCAGCAACCTGCCCCATCTCCTGTTCCAGCTTGCAATATTGTTGAAGCAAGATTCTATATGTGTCTTCACTGTAAGAATCATGTGCTATTCCTAATAGAAAAAATAAGACAGCAATAGGTGAATAGCCCAAACACAAATATATTCAATTATTTAATAGTGGCAGCTAATATTTTAGACTACAAATCTTGGGCAGTTATCAAGTAAACAAATCAGAAATCTCTTGTACTGGTGAAAAACTTAGCTGTTGACACACTTAGTTGCCATATACGTTTGTTAAATGAAATTGGGACTAACTTTGCTAAACTCTTGCAATTATTGGATTGAATTAGAGTGACTCAGCATGTCAAGTCAGTTTTGCTAAACTGGGAAGGTGTGGAGCTGCAGCCAGATGTGTGTCCACATGTGCCACAGGGCTGGACTTGTAGGCCCTTTCCAACTTTACTACCACTTTGCTTTATTCTTTTCTAAAACTCACTTCTGAGACACCCCCCCCCCGTGAAAGGTTATGTACTAGATCTGACCCTTGACCTTGTGTCTCCCTTGATCTGTAATAGCAATCTACTACCTCCTGGCTTTAAATCTAGAGGTTCATTGACATATCTGGTCAGAAGAGACTGCTCTATTAAGTCTAACCAATCACTTCCAATATGCACAATAATGCACCTTCTGCAGTATTTGAACTGGCTTAACAGAAGTTATCATACACCCACTAAAATACCTAGTAGGTTCGATATATCTATTAATGAAATAACAGCAATGCTGTGATTATAATTCTTCTCAAGCAGAGGATTTCTTTCCCACGCTCAGTATGATCTGATTTCAGCCCCGTCAAGGTGGGACTCTAAAAAGGACCCAAGGAACTTGATTCACAGAGGAAAAGCATCCCCCTCCTCTCTGCTCACTTAGGTAAAATGTATCAAGCGACTTGGTAAATAGACAATTAAACCTGAGTGGCCCCACATTACAGATTATTCCAATCTATCAAATGCACTTACAAGATCAGGTCTTGAAGTATAACTGCATCAAGAAGAGGAAATTTAAACTCATACTCAGTCAGTCAGACACAGAATTTATACTGAGACACTGCTGCAAATTTCCACGCTTTCCCACAAAAGGACAAGGGGCTCATCCTCCTCTCA